TAGGCAAAGGTTTTTGTAGGGGGGTTGCATCCAGGGAAAATCCTGTCATGTAGATGCTGGCTACAAAAGGCATCATGGTGGTTTTGGATATGGAGAAAGAAATGATGAAGGAGAGCACGTACTGAAATTTGCGCAAGCCTTCGACCTTGCCTTAACCAACACCTACTATAGGAAAAAAGACAGTCATTTAATAACATATGAAAGTGGTACTAGGAAAACACAGATAGATTACATGCTAATCTCTCGCAGAAGATTAAAAGATGTAATAGACTGCAAAGTCATCCCAGGAGAAGATATCGCCGCGCAACACAAGCTACTAATCATGGATTTACAAATCTCAAATAAATCCACTCAAAATAAGATAAAACTGGAACCATGCATCAAATGGGGCAAATTAAAAACAATGACAGATGCCTTTGCAATCAATGCAAACATTGAAACAATAAATTGCTCACAAGTCAGTGAAAAAATCTGGACAGACCTTTCATCCAGATTAATAGACACTGCAAAATCGACGCTAGGCTTGACAAGAGGAGGCAACAAATCACACAAAGAACTATGGTGGTGGAATCAAGAGGTACAAACCACTATACAGGAGAAAAAAGCCCTTTATAAAATATGGTACAAATCCAAAAATGCAGATGACAAGTCAAGATACAAAAAATCCAAGAGATTAGATACAAAGGCGGTGGCTTGGGCCAAATCTATGGCATACGATGACATGTACGAAGATCTACATACCAAAGAAGGGCAAAATAAAATATACAGATTAGCCAAACAGCGAGAAAAGAACTCTAGGGATATAAACGGAGCTCCGAAAGTAATCAAAAATAAAGATGGGAAATTGATAATAAAGGAAAAAGAAATAATGAATAGATGGAAAGAATATTTTCTCAGGAGCTTCTCAACTTTAATTCCCACATATTGCATCTCGATGAACACTCCCCTTGTCAAAACCTTGTACAACCTACAACAGAACAAGAAATAATCACATGCCTCAAGCATATGAAAAACAACAAAGCTAGGGGTCCAGACGATATTCCAATAGAAAGCCTTAAAGCACTAGGAGATGAAGGAATACATCTCCTCACAAATCTGTACAATAAAATACTTGGAAATGAAGAGGTTCCCCAAAAATGGAAGCAGAGCTATCTAGTTCCTATCTTCAAAAATAAAGGGGATCCACACAATCTGTCTAAAACTATACGAAAAAATAATAGAAAAAAGATTAAGAGATATAATCGAAATAGGAGAGACACAGTTTGGCTTTATGCCTGGAAGATCAACAACCGATGCTATCCATGCAATTAGGCAAATGAGTGAAAAATACAGGGAAAAGAACAAAAAGCTACACATGGTCTTTCTCGATCTAGAAAAGGCCTTCGATAGAATCCCAAGAATACTTATCTGGTGGGCGCTACGCCACAAAAAAGTTCCCAGAAAAATATATAAGAATAATACGGGATATGTATATGGGACATACAACAATGGTCCGTAGCACAACAGGTACTTCAGCAGGCTTCACAATAGCCGAAGGAGTTCATCAAGGGTCGGCTCTCAGCCCACTTCTCTTCATTACAGTAATAGATGTATTAGCACAGTCTATACCTCAAACAGTCCCGTGGAATATGATATTTGCAGATGATATTGTAATACTTGCCGAATCCAAGGATGAAATGAAAGAAAGGTTAGTGAATTGGATAAATATCCTAGAAACGCACGGATTAAAAGTAAATAGAGAAAAGACGGAGTATATGGTGATAGGAGGAGATGAAACGGAGAGTATTGATATAAATGATTGGCAGATATCCGCAATTGAAAGCTGCAAATATTTGGGCTCCACTATACAAACAAACGGCACAATAGAAAAAGAGATAAAGAATAAGATTAATCAAGGGTGGTTAAAGTGGAGATCTTTATCTGGAGTGCTATTTGACAAAAGAATCCCACACAAATTAAAGGGAAAAATCTACAGTTCCATAGTACAACCAACTATTCTATATAGTTCGGAAACATGGCCAACCAAAGAATCAGACGAGAGAAGTCTACAAACTATGGAGATGAGAATGCTGAGGATAATTGCTGGGGTAACCAGAAAGGATAAGGTGTGCAGTACAAGAATACTAAATAGTTTAAAGGTAGTGCCCATTAAGACTAAGTTAATGGTAAACAGACTTAGGTGCTGTATGCACACAATGAGAAGGCCTATGAACTACATAGGAAATAAAGTTGAAAGTTTGGAAACGATGGGCAAACGTAAAAGAGGAAGGCCAAAACTTCAATGGGGCCATAAAGTTAGAGCCAATATAAAGAAGTATAAAATAGATAAAAGAGATTGTATGAATAACATAAAGTGGAGAGAGATGTTGAAGGAGCTTACCACCAGAAAAGGTGAAAGCTAAAGAGAGAAAAAAAAAAGGAGAAAATTATGATTCCCCGTTGATTTGACGGACTTCAGAGTATTTATATAATAATATAAAATAAGTATTTGTTGGCCATTAGGGGAGACCAGGGCTAGTCGGCGCAATTTTTGTCAAAATCATCATAGCTCCGAAAATAATGATCGTATAAGATCCTACAAAATACTAATCGATACCTTAAACATCTACCTATAAATATATACTGTTACATTTTTTAAATATTTAATAGTTTTTTCTCTAAAAAAGATTTAGTAAAAGTCATTTTTTTTGAACCGAGTAGCCCCAAACCCGTAGCTAGTCGGATCATCGATGGGGCTAATCGAACAAGTGGTTTATTAGGCTTCTTATGAGACAAAAATTTTTTTTTCATATTTTAATATATAACTACGATGCTTTATTTGTATAATATTAGATATTCAACAATTTTATTTTCTTCATCATCATCAAAAAATTTTTGTTTATTATCTTGGCCTATCTTGGGCATAGTGCCAACCAGTTTGTATTTTTTGTAATATCTTAAAAAATTTGTTGCAGGTATACCTAATAAAATATATAATAAATTTACTCAAAATTTATCTAATTGTATATTTAAATATATAACACATTTGAATATCCTGAAAACTAAAATGTTCATATCCAATAAAATGTATTAATTTGAATCATATTATACTGTTAATTATAATTAATATTTATATATAAATATTGTTTGCTTCACATAATTTATATTAAAAAATTGATCTTATCATCAGGCTAAAGTTTATTTACTAAAATGTTCATATCCAATAAGATGTATGAATTTGAATCATATTATACTGTTAATTATAATTAATATATATAAATATTTGTTTGCTTCACATAATTTATATTAAAAAATTGATCTTATTATCAAACTAAAGTTTATTTACTAAAATGTTCATATCCAATAAGATGTATTAATTTGAATCATATTATACTGTTAATTATAATTAATATATATAAATATTAGTTTGCTTCACATAATTTATATTAAAAAATTGATCTTATTATCAAGCTAAAGTTTATTTACTAAAATGTTCATATCCAGTGAGATGTATTAATTTGAATCATATTATACTGTCATAATTTATATTAAATAATTGATCTTATTATCAGGCTAAAATTTATATATGCAATATATCTATGACAATATATATTTAATTATCACAATACAAAGATTTTATTTGCAAGATATTTATTTAGGTCTGCTATTATATTAAAATTGAAATGTATTATGAAAAATTACATGAATAAATTTATATAATAATTATTATTTTTATATTACATTTATAAAATATTATATTTTAACCTGTAATAGTTGATATTTTTCTTGATGAGATCTTATTTTCATATAGTCTAATAGCTTCTTCAAAATCACTATTACTAAATATTTTCCTGTTTTGAATTTTTCGTATATATTGGCGTACAGTATTAATATTATAAACATTAATTGATTGATTGCGTCGACTAGCCATGATTCTACTAACCTCAATGGTGGTAATATTACTAATATAATCTTAACATATATTTAAGCATTATGTATCAATCTGAAACTTTCCCAGATATTAAAATAGATATTTTACTTTCATATATTGTGCATTTTGTCATGTTTAAACTTTTAATTTTTTAATACAGCTTAATAATATTAAGGGAAAATATTCTGAAATTCATGTCAAAAACATGTTATAACAGATAAAAATTTAAATAGCTAAATATTATAAATTATTTTTATCCCCAAATATGGATATTATAGAATTCTATTTTAGAACAAAATTTCAGTTATTAATCGTTACTAGTTTTAAAATAAAATCCTTTGAACCGACAAGCCCCTTGCGCCGACTAGCCCTGGTCTCCCCTATTATCAATTCTGTATGATAATATAATAGAATTAGAAAAAAATAAAAAAAATTTACACATTTTTTATAATTTAAATAATGTCATATTTTGTCATTTTTATATAAATTATTTTTATGTAATTGATATATTATATCAATAAAACATTTTGCATGAGAATAATGGAATAATAATTTTAATTATCTTATGGGAAACTTAATTAAATAATTTAATCTATAAACCCCAGGTTTGGGGCTTGTTGGAGCAAAAAATTATTTTTACTCGAATTAAATTTGAGAATAAAGTATAAATTAATTTGAAAATTTATCAATGTATAAAGTTATGTAGATGTTTGGGCTATCTTATGGTATTTTATGAATTCAAACAAACAATTATTTTTGGACCTTTGATGATTCAAAAATTGCACCTACTAGCCCTGGTTCTACTTATTAATATAATTATTACCTTCTAAAAATATTTAAACATGAATTATGAATATGAAACTTTCTGAAATGCAAAAAAAATTTTAAATTATATATAAGGTCAACTTTATTATTTTTAAACTCTTCATATTTTAGAGCCACTATATATTGTGGTGTAAAAACATTTTGATTTTTGCCTAAAAAACACATTTTATCAGGGTGGTTAAGGAGGCGCTGCTACACTTTTTCTAAAACACCTGGAGCGCCCCTCCTTTTAAAAATCAGGAGCGGGAGTGGGAGCTAGCTCTTTTTAGGGCTGATGTGGAGGATCGCCGCTCCATCGCTTTAATTTAAATTATTTTTTAAATTTAATAAATCTAATTATTTGTTAATTAAAATACATTAATAATGAAATTTTATTATATAAATTTATGCAATATTAAATGTTGAGCCGAGTTTTATATTGGTTCTTCATCTAATCGGTTAAAATATGAAACATCAAGTTTTTCTTTCTTTTTATAATGAAAATTTCTTGGAAAATCTTGTAAGTCATATTAATATTCATTATATATATATATATGATAAAAAATATTTTTGATATTTTTGATATTATTGATACAGACATCATAGAAGAAGAAATAGAATTTCCATTTCCATCATACAAAAAATATTTTTCTCATCTTAAAGCATTAAAATCCTTGAAGGGAAGCTTCATATTGGGTTTCTTAACATCAACCATTTCTAAACTTACCTCAAAAATAAATGACTTAGCAGGTTTAGAGTTTTGCCAACTTCTTGTAGAATTTCTTTTAAGTGGTATTTATAAAAGGTTTATAATAAAAAATAAATTATCTATTTAAATAACTTTATTGCATATTTTCAAATGTTTATAATAATGAAAATATATCTGCGGCTATTACCCATCCTGCATTCAAATTAAATTGAGAATGGATAAAAAATGCACAAAATATCTATATTATAATTTTCCGATGTCCTCACTACGTCATCGTGACGTCATGTCATCGGTACGTATTTATTTTTATTTTTTTTATTTGTTGTTTTTATCAATTCAAAGTTGTAAGTATGAATAAAACTTTTTATATTACTTAATCCTTTCTTTATTTTTTAGATTACCTTATCAATATTCATGTCATATTATCAATTACACATTAATGAAATCTTTTTTATTTGTAAGTATGAATAAAACTTTTTATATCACTTAATCCTTTATATTCATGTCATATTATCAATTACACATTAATGAAATCTTTTTTATATAATATAATTTACAGATGAATAGAATTGATGGTGTACACATACATAATCTTTGAATTGATAAAACCTCAAATTTGTAAGTATGAATAAAACTTTTTATATCACTTAATACTTTCTTTATTTAGATTACCTTATCAATATTCATGTCATATTATCAATTACACATTAATGAAATCTTTTTTATAGAATATAATTTACAGATGAATATATTTGATGGTGTACACATACCTAATCTTTGAATTGATAAAACCTCAAATTTTTAAGTATTAATAAAACTTTTTATATTACTTAATCCTTTCTTTATTTTTTAGATTACCTTATCAATATTCATGTTATATTATCAATTACACATTAATAAAATCTTTTTTATAGAATATAATTTACAGATGAATAGAATTGATGGTGTACACATACCTAATCTTTGAATTGATAAAACCTCAAATTTGTAAGTATGAATAAAACTTTTTATATCACTTTATCCTTTCTTTATTTTTTAGATTACCTTATCAATATTCAGGTCATATTATCAATTACACATTAATGAAATCTTTTTTTATAGAATATAATTTATAGATGAATATATTTGATGGTGTACACATACCTAATCTTTGAATTGCTAAAACCTCAAATTTGTAAGTATGAATAAAACTTTTTATATCACTTAACCCTTTCTTTATTTTTTAGATTACCTTATGAATATTCATGTCATATTATCAATTACACATTAATGAAATCTTTTTTATAGAATATAATTTACAGATGAATAGAATTGATGGTGTACACATACCTAATCTTTGAATTGATAAAACCTCAAATTTGTAAGTATGAATAAAACTTTTTATATCACTTAATCCTTTCTTTATTTTTTAGATTAACTTATCAATATTCATGTCATATTATCAATTACACATTAATCAAATCTTTTTTATAGAATATAATTTACGAATAATGCAAAGATCATTTGAAAACTTTTTAAGAAGATAACCAAGTATATTCTTTCTCAAAATTAAACCTTTTAATGTTAAATATTAGTCTTATGTATATTATCAACATACAATTTATGATATAATTTGTGTAAAATAATATATAGCGTTAAAATACTAAATTAAAATAATATAAAATAAAATAAAAAAAATAAAATATTATATAAAAACCGAGGTGGGACTACAAGTTCCCAAAAAACATGTGTAGTTATATTTTAAAATTATGATTTGGAGATTTTGTTTTAAGAAATAAGATTCTTTAGGTTCTGATGTAAGGGCTCTTATCTTATCCCCTATATTTTTTAAAAACTTTAAAGTTCCACTTGGCATATGTCCAAGGGAAGAGATGACAATCGGTGTAAAAATATAATTTGTGAATTTGGAATATTTCATTGTTTTTTTTTTCTCGGCTATATCAACCGGATTAGAATTTAAATTTTTTGGGAAAGAAGATACGCATGTGAAGTCCCAAATTAAGGATTTCCCTAAAGACCAAGGCACGGAAGTTAAACCATCTGGTCTTAAGCCATCATCTAACGATAAATTTGTAGGCTCCAGGATGTTTGGTATTCGGGCCCTGGTAAGAGAACGGCTAATAGCTAAATTTATTGCTGCATGCCTTGCATGCCTGCCTTGACTATATATACAATTTAGACCATGTCTCCCTTTGGAGTCAACTAATGTTTTACATTTGATGCATGTATGTGGTTGAACAATGTTACATCCAAGTCGATGGCCTATGGCAACTCTTAATTGTTCATCTGATAAGAGGTTACCTAGGTTACGACTTGGTAATGCTTCCAACCATTCATAGCCACTAGTACAGTCAGCATTCTGTAATAGTTGAATATACTCCAAAGGGGGGTTTGATGAGATTATTTTAAAAATTTTTTTAATTAAAGGTTCGAAAAGAGATTGGTGTGTTAAGATCGTGGGTAAGACAGCTTCAGGTGGAGCTAAAGATGTCCAGGCTGTCAAGGCTGAGTTTAAAAGGTTATCTTTAGGAGAGATAAAAGAAGATATCATGGCGTTATTCATCAAACGCGATGCCAAAAATGAGGAAAGAGATAGAAGGTTTAAAGGATATAAATCTAAACCACCCATTTTCGAGGGTAATTGTGAGAAACCCCAATTAAAATCTTCCAATTTAATATTTAAAATATTTTCTAATAAACTTCTAAAAAATTCATGAACACGATTAATAATTTCATTATTTAAAAAAAAGGAAGAATATCTAAAAATATGTACTATCTTTGGTAAAAATAAATATTTTTTTAAAAGAAAAAAGCTCTGGTGTGAAGGAATTTCGTTTAAAATAGTTTCGAGTCCTGATAAGCCTTCGAAAAATTTTTCCACGAACACCTCACAGTTGGAAAAACTGCTTAAAGGTGAACCTAGAAGATTAATTTCACTTTTATTGATGATTTTAAACCCTTGGACTTTGAGAGTATTTGAATTTAAAAAGCATATTTCCGATTTAGCTTTATTTAGAGTAAGGCCTATGTTTAGAGAATTTTTCTCTATATAATCTATCGCTGCAAGAATATTTTTAGAAGGTCCGCAAATGGTACCATCATCTAGATACCATATGTTTAAATCTAAATTAAAAGAGGATTTTAGACAATGAACTAGGTTATGTATACCTAAACTAAAGATCAGAGGGCCCAAAGGGTCTCCTTGTTGAATACCCTCGTCAGAAGGAATTGTATATTCCCCGAATTTGAGAGGGGTTCTACAGCCATAAGACTGTTCAATAAGTCTTGCATAAACTGGGAATTTATCATAAAAAATGTTTAAAAATGTTTTTCTGGATAAAGAATTAAAAGCATTTTTAAAATCAAGCTTACAGACTACGGCGTCTGGAGGAGGATCTTCGATATATATGCGAAGAGAGTGAGCGGCTATTTCGCATCCCCCTTTAGTACCAAAGCCTAGTTGATATGTTTGGAACATTTTTGAAGCATCAGGTTTGATGCGCTCAACGATTATCTTAGCTAATAGTCTCCTAAAAAAAGACCCTATTGCGATTGGCCGAACTCCACCATCAGGCTTAGTAAAAGCAATTAATCTTGCGCCAAAAAGGATTTGGTGAATTTGACTGGGTAAATCATTGTTCAATATATTTTCACTAAGTATTACCAATAATTTACAAATGTATCTTTATGAGGATTTTTAGGGTTAATTAAAAATTGGAAATAAGAGGGGCGAAAACCGTCAATTCCCCCTGCAGAGTTTTTATTAAAAGATAAAATTGTTTTAATAAGTTCTTCTTTACCTATTTCGATTAAATTAGGTTTTATAGGGATGGGAAGATCTTCAGGAAAAGCCTGAGGGTGCAATTCTTTTAGTAAAGTAAAAGTATGTTCATCAAATGGAGCCAATTTATCATTAGATGAGGCTAATTTAAGAGCTCCACATACGTCCCCTTGGTCTATTTTTTTTGATATAATCTTACATTTATGGGAAAAATTAGATGTTGCCCTTACATCAGGAACGTAATTTTCCATTTCTAAATCATAAAAATGGTCTATTTTATATTTTATACATTCATGTAAAATAGTTTTTTTATTTTTATCTGTAGGTTTGATTAAGACTTTAAAAGGAAATGTTAAAAGATTCTCCCAAGCTTTAAGGGAATTTAAATTTGAATTAACTTCCATAATAAGTGTTGTTAAAAAATTAGAAATTAAAGACCTTGATTTAAGGGGTAGGTGGATTAAGGTTGGTGGCTTTTCCCACTTTAAAAAATTATCATAAAAATCAGGATAAAAATTTTGGATTACAATGGGGGTTGTTTCAATTTTGTTGTATAAAATTTCATTTGAAGGGGGTTTACCAGAGTTTATACATGGTTTAGACCTGGGCCCATGTTTATAAAAACAAATAGCTTGGGTCAAGGTTATATTTCTATGGCAGGCATTACAAATGCTTGACATACCCATTTTAGAAGAATAAAAAAAGGGAGAAGAGGGTAGGGGGTATGTATGAATGAGTGATTTTTCAAAAAAAAAAAGTTATTTATTTTTTTTAAAAAAAAAAAAATATATATATATAAATAAAAGTTAAATTAAAATTAAAAATTTAAATTTTGTTGTATTAAGAATAATTGAGTAATGTTTAAATAAAAATTTATATTTAAAAAAAAAAAAAATTAAAATATATAATACAAACTAACTTAAAATCTATATTTTTGGAAAAATATGTATTAAAATTTGAGGTTAAAGATTGTTGTGCAGGAATATCATTGGTTGAATCAAAGAAATCTTGGTGGTAAGTTGAGCAAGCCACATTAATGTTCTTGTACTGTGATTGTTGTGCAGCAATATTGTTTAGCAAGTCACAATAATGTTATTGTATTAATGATTGTTGTGGAGCAATATATAAGGTGGCGTGTAAGGGTTAGGTTATTATGTTTAAGGTCAAAGGGATTGTCAGATATTGGGTAGGATTAAAATATTAAAATACCATGTCATTTAACAAGGTAGGAAGGAATTTTGGTTGAGATATGTTGATTGTTGTGTTAATATTTCAGGTCGGAATTTAAGAATCAAATTGTAAAATAGATAAATTTATGTATATAGGATTATGAATATTTAAAATGATGTTACAAAATTGCTTGTTACAAGTTTGAGGGTATGTGTAATGTGCAAGAAAACTATGAGAGGTATTGTTTGTAATTTTGATCCTGCACATCTAGGCAATGATGAGTTAAATAGACAGTAATTGGTTATTTTAAAAATATGTAGGTATGATAATAAATGAATGATTCATGTTGTTAATATAATTGTTTAGATTTCATATATAGCTATAGGAAGGATCCTAAATATACTAGATTATAATCTTGTAAACAGCTGATTGTGAATAAAGAGCTAAAAGCTTGATTATTGCTAGTTTGGGAGAGAAAGATCCAAGGACATTATTTCAGCATGGTATGAATATGATCAAGGACTTATAAAAAGCTGATTGTGAATACAGGACTAAACGGTGTAACTAAGTTATAAGTCTATGTCAAACTTTTCGTTAGTAATATATTTTGCCCATAGACTAATTTGTAAATCAGAGATTTCCTCTTCATTAATTATAAAAATGCAAAGATCATATGAAAACTTTTTATTCACTCAATTCTTATTTTGTTTTTTATCTAATGTTTTATATCTATGTTTATTTTATACACCCTGTTGCCTCCAAATGATATTTCTATCACCACTACCACAATCCCTATGCCACCTCTGCCTAATTTTTAACAAATATAAGCATTTAATTTCACTATCATTCACCTCACTAGGAGTTAATATAAATAATACTTTATCCGATTCTCTGATGAACTTTCATGAATATTTAGAGGGATGTTCAGAGAAGGTGTAGTGCGGTCAATTTCATTAGCATTATTAATGGGAAAATATGCTGTAGTTTTGTCATGGCCTTTATAACAATACTTACGACCGTTTTATGGTTGAGTTGACAATGTCGTTCATGATTCTATTTTAGAGGGGGATACCAAGACTGACTTTGGCAGAAATATTATTTTGCGTTCTTCTTTTACCAGTAGCCCAGGGCCTCAGCTTTATCAGGACGCAATGGGTGTTGTACACTGCTTTGGTAATCCGTCATTATTCATTACTTTCACCTACAACCTTAAATGGGATGATATTATACATTAATTATTTCTTCTGCAGACGACTGCCCAGATTTATCGCTTTTTCCATCAAAAATTAAAATGTCATTAAGGATTTGCTCTTAATTTTACCAGACGCACAAAATAATAATTAATCCTCATCATTTTTAAAAAAAATTACCTAAATTTATATGGCAAGAAAAACACATTTCTTAAAAAATATATAAATAAATTGCAAATAAGTTTCATTAGTATTGAATGGCATTTTTTTTGTACTTAATATAAAGATATAGATAACCCTTATCAAATTTTTTGATAAAAGGAGTTAACCCACTAATTGGTAAATCCGAGATTTCTCCTCATGTGATGATAAATTATTTAGAAATTTAACTATCTCTGGGTTTGGGAAAAAGTTTTGAAAATTAATATAGGTTGGACTGGGCTTGGGAAATATTCCTCAAGATTAATATTTGCTTGCACCTGACTTGGGAATATCTTTTACAAATTATTATGGGTCGGGCTAGGAAAAAATTTTCAAAATTATTATGGGTTGAGCTAGGCTTGAGAAATTTTTTTAAAAAATTATAAGGTCTTGGACGCTTAGAAATTTTTTCAAAATATTATGAGCTTGGACCTGGCTTGAAATTTTTTAATGTTAAATGTTAGTCTTATGTAATCAGTAATATATTTACAAAGAATTTTGGTATTGGGTACAAGCTCGTTTAATATTTTGACTCAAATAATAGCTTCCACTCTTAGTCCTAATGGGTTGGACTCAATGACATTGCTTGGACTTGACCTAAATGGGGAGGGGGGGGTTAAAAATAATATAAATTGGATATGATTTTTAAATAAAAGGTAACATCTTTCTTAAAAAAACGAATAAAATTCTCATTCTCCGTCATTTTTGACGGGCTATCTACTAGTGTATCTAAAATACAAATTAATTAATTTTTTGAGGAAACAAATTAATAATGCAAAAATAGCTTAGTTCACAGGAACCCTGCAATGATTTGTAAGGTTTTTTTGGATTCCATAATACTGAACTGATATCAACATTACTATTTTTGATAAATTTCCTGAATTAAAAAATATTTTTATAAAATACAGTACTCTGCTTCCCTCTAGTGATCCTGTTAAGCGCCTGTGGATGTTTGTTAGGTTCAAATTTAGAAAATTTATTACTTTTAAAAGCTAGTGAAATATTATAAATATTTCAATATATCATTTAATATAAATAAACTCTTTTGATAAAAAAATATTATTTTGTTTCGTGTACTTTCTAAAAAAAAATGAAAATCAAAGGATCGGCTATGGAGTGTCACTCTATGGAGCGGGAGCTAACTCCTTTTAAAAATTTAATAGAGGGATTGGGACGCTCCTTTTAAAAAGGTGGGAGCGGGAGCTAGCTACTTTTAAAAAAATGCGTTAACTCTGCTTTTTATCATAAAAAAATTTAAATAGCTGAGGGGTATAAAATATTTTTTGCCTCAAATATACGTACAATGCTATTAGATAATTAAATTTGAATTTCTAAACATGTCTGACGCTGAATCAGCACCCCTTGCGCCGACTAGCCTGGTTTCCCCTACTTTTGAACTACCTATTCACCTTATATTTATATTTGTCCCACTTATACGTCAGGGGCACAACAAATTTTTCACTTTCTTTTATAGTGTATTTGAAGTTCAATTATTAGCTTTGTGAAATGAAATTTACAGCTCATATTTGTGATAACCACAAATTGAAAAATTCGGTGCATATACTTTTATTGTTATAAAATCTGAGTGATTTTAATAAGTTGCTAGATGTTGTCTTAAACATGATATATTCACTACTTTTTTATGGCCTTTATAATCCCCTACATAAATAATGAAACAGAGACCATCAGATTATTATAAAACAACATCAGTAAATAGTTCCATACTAAAATGATAATATAATGAATATACATATTGGTCAATGCTTGATGTAAGTTAGTGGGTTAGTATATATTAGATATAGGCGAAGGACTGAGAGTTATCCTTTAAAAGTATAATGCTATATTTCACATTTTTTCAAATTCGTTTTAAGATACATATTATTTATTTCTAATGCTTAATTTCTATAAAACACATAGATGGATTAGAGATAGTTTCAAAATAAAAATAAATGTATATATATTGTGCTTAATATAGTTTTTAGTTTGGGACTATTTACCGAGACTTATTTTAACAATAATCTTTAAATCACAATTTTAACAAGGTCGCTAAGACGGCCAATTGACCTAACCATAGCAGACAATAAGGCAGGAACCTGATCAAACTTAAATTTAATACTGAAAAAATAAATGTCCTAAATATTGAGCGTGAGCTGCTTCGATTATTAAGATGGTATCTATCGACATTATCTTCCATCAAAAACTCCTAGTGCAACCACTCACCTGTAATTCAGTTTCTTTTATCTAACATGAAATAAAGACTTTTACCCTATGGGTCAGCACAGAATAAAATATAATGATTTTGTTCAGTTTCGAGCGAATACGATCATCTTCGTAAGAGACATAACCTCACCCTATAATCAAGATCAAACTGATCTTATTATTTCTCTTAGCGATATAATTGCCATTAGTTGCCCCTCCTCATTCGCCCAAAAGATATTATTTGGAACCAAGCATTCATCTCAACCCAATTAAAGCTTCAAAACCTTCGCAATAAGAATTATTACAGAAGACTCAATTTTTAACTAGTGGAAACTACTTGCATTTAAATTTGTTATCATTTTTTCAGGCATAAGAGTAAGGAGTGTTTATATAGTTTTCATTGAAAAGATGAAAATAATCATATTCATTTTTAGACATTTTCAGATTTCTTGGCATTACATCATTTTATTCCATTTTTAAAAAATATAACC